AACAACCACTTCGATCAAGGCTACCTGTAGAGCCCAAGGGTCCAACCAGAATTTAGTATCCCGACCATTTTTAATGTTATAAACAAGGCCTTTTTTTCAGCAGTCAGCCTTCTTGTTGACTAACACAAACCCCAGACTCATTGCCGTCAGTATAATCAGCAGTATGAGGAATGGGTTAGGTTACCACGGGACCAGGGTGTTTCTGCTGGGGGCAATGCCCAACATACGATGGCCGCGGGGGGGGGGGGGGGGGGGGGGGGGGGGGGGAGATAGGCTTGTGTGTATGTGGGATGGAGCCACTAGAAGGGGGTCTCATTCGGCGGAGGGATGGTTATTATGACCCCAACTAGGAAAATCCTAATGGCTGCGGGTTTTCAATTCCCTGGTATTGAGGATCCTATGGTTGTGGAGACGATGGCCCTCCGCGAAGCTGTTTTGTGGTGCCTTAATCGGGGAATCCTGGAGGTATGTTTTGAAGGGGATGCTAAGGTTATTATTGATAAGATCCAACAGGCAGACACCAGGGATAGTAGGGTGGGGGCTATTCTTGCTGAAGTTGTTCATGATTTTGCTAGTCAGCCACGCTTTAGTGTTCGATTTGTAGGTCGGCGTAGTAATAGGGTAGTCCATTTGGTGGCTCGTAAAGCCCTCTCTTTGTACCCGGCCATGAGTCGTTCTGTTGATTTCAGTACCTGGCTTTTGTCCAGAATGTAACTATCTATTTTTCTGATCAATGAAGATTATCTTTTGTAAAAAAAAAAAGACTCATTGCCGTCAGTATTCGATGGTTATACTTTCATTGTTAACTTAAAAAATTTTGAAATCTTTTATGAAAAAGGAACGAGTTAATTGCAATCAAGTATCAACAAATTTATGGGTAATTATCATAAATGGTAACACAACATATCACTCTATACAAAACGGTCAGTAAAATTTAATTTTGCACATTTCAATAAAACAAGTTTGGACCAATAACAAAATGGTCATTCCATCAATTCCATCTAAGATTCTGTTAACTTTAAGTCCATGTCACCAAAAATATCAATAAAAAACTAATCTAACCATAAAATTTAGGACTTTGCTACGGTGACATATATGTAACTGTAACTTGCACTTTTAGGTCGACCTCATGTAGGATTAGGTCGACCTAATATAAACTTTTAGGTCGACCTTATATAGGATTAAGTCGACCTTATCTGCACTTTTAGGTCGACCTAATATGTCGTTTCAGTTTCGTGAGGGTCAATGACGCGGTTGACCTTTTATAGGAAATGGTCGACCTCTTTGGGAAGCGAATAAAATGAAAGGTCGACCCAAACACCTCATAGGCCGACCATTTTGATTAACTAAGGTCGACCGCGTACACACTGTATCCGTATTGGATAAGGATTACAACACCAGAAAGGTAACCCTAACATATCTACAACTTAATTTGACCCGTTATTGTCCTAAATATCTATAAATACGAATATATGTCACCTTCACCGACACCGAAACTCTGAATTAGGTTTTTTTTTTTACGGTTATAGCTTTTGTAAAGAAGATCCTTTGCGGTTGCTGCTATACGTGATTCAAGAGGTCGACCACGTGGAAGTTATGAGTCCTTGTTATCATTATTTATGACTGATTCTGTTGGTTAGAAACATAATTTGTACGAGCAAAAGAACCACCCACATCGACCTCGTACCGGATTAGGTCGACCGGGAAACCAACACTTGATCTTCATTTTACGTCAAATGATGATGGATAAATGGATACAACACTTCTCTTTTATCTGGTCGACCTCTTTCTGTAAATGGTCGACCATTTTGTTAATGACCACCATCAAGTGGTCGACCTATATACCTTTATGGTCGACCATTTTGCTTCTAACGCCAATGAAAAGGGCGACCGATGTTTTATTGTGGTCGACCAACAATCACAACTTAAACTACAAAAGGTCGACCATTACATTTTAAAGGTCGATTGTGATAAGTCATCAGGGTGCCCACATTAGTGTATTTGGGAACCTCACAAAACGGCATATTAGGTCGGCCTAACCTATATAAGGTCGACCTAAAAGTGCATATTAGGTCGACCTAATCCTATATGAGGTCGACCTAAAAGTGCATAGTTACGGTGACATGCATGTCACCATAGGCATACGACATACCCATTTAATCAAACCACCCGACCCAAACTCTAATCCAACCCCATAATCGGGACCGGGTCAGCTCAGTAACCCTCCCATCAGTAACCCCCCTTCCCCTAGCCCCCACGTGCCAGCCTTTTTCTTTTATGAAAACTAAACACCGAGGGGAAATATGGTACATTGCACCCCCTATTTAATGTTGACGCTCTGACGCGGATCCCACTCCCCCACTGGTTCCCCTCTCTTTTACTTTTTGTTTTATTATTAAAAAAAGTACATGATTTCTTCTCTCTCTCCCATCTACAGCAAAAATGAATCTAACCATCCTAGATATCTCTGTTTTAACTCAAATTGAATGGTGATTTTTTGCTAGATAATTTTTTGCAATGTTATTAAAGCCGAGCCGCTCGGCCCGACCAGTAAAACCGCCACACGGTCACAAAATCGGCTCGGAACAGTCTAAAAGCCGCTTCGGTTTTATTTAGCGGTTGACGAGCGGCCGAGGCGGTTAACCGCTCGAGCCGATCGAGCCGCTCATCCGGTTTTTGCCATTCAGTCGTTAAATTTAATTAAAAAAATTGCAGAAAATTGAAAATTGAAATAAACCAAAAACGTCGGGCTCTCAAACTGAATCCTTATTTCGTTTCACAATTTCGAAGGAAAGAGACGAGCTCTGATTAAGAAATGTCCACTATTTATACCAATAACGTTTATTGGGTACCGGTTCTCTAACGGTTTTTAAACGATCTAATCTCGGTTGAACCACTAAAGTGCGAGCCGTTCGTGGTAAAACATGGTAAAATACGCTGAAAAAAATACAAATTTAACTACCATAAAATACCAGTATATCACATGATATAACGTCGTAAAACATGCTACAGAAATTTACAAATCTATTTACCATATGGTATAACATGCTAAAATAAAATTATAAATCCAACTACCACCACATGGTATAACATGGTAAAACATGATATCCATAAAAATACATTTCGTTACTACACTTTACTATATGGTATAGACTCATTACCATATGATATAGACACATTACCATATGATATAGTGTGGTAATCTCAATATATATATAATTACGACTCTCTTCACTTTCTTCTCCAACTTCATTGTCTTCCAACTCTTCTTTCTCGAAACTGGAGTCGATTACCATCCACTACCACCATGATAAAACTCATGACCATAAAAATACATTTAGTTAGCACACATTACCATATGGTATAGTGTGGTAATATCAATATATATTACCTAAAAGAAGGAAGAAAATAGAAGGAGGAAGAGAAAAAAAACTCGTCTTCTGTCTCCTCTCATTTCTCCTCCGCAATCAAGAACACCAAATGCAACAACAAAAAAAAGGAGGAATATCGGAATTGAAAATTCACAAAAAAATACTAAAATATAAAACATGCAAACTCGACTCACCTAGATCCATCCCCTCTTGGTCAATATGGAGCGTCATCTATTTTGAGGTCGAGAAAAGAAAGAACAGAAGGAAGGAGAAGCTGCAAAGAAGAAGGATTTGGAGCGTCACCGGATTTGAGATGTGATGCTGCAATTTTTCTTTGTCAATTGTTGGAGAAAAAAATATGAAGAACAAGAGAAGGGAACAGATCTAGATATGAAAAAGTAGTTTGGAAGAGAGAAGGAAGAAAGGAAGAGAAAGAGAAAAGTATGATTTTCTCTTTTCTTCATTAAAAGCCAGCATATAAATGCTAGAAAAAATAATAAAAAAATAATATTTAAAAAACCGGACAAAAACGCCACACCCCATCCCTCGTCAATCCCAGCCACACAATGATTCCGCCCCAGATCAACGGCCCATAAGTGGTTACTCTAATGACCCTATCTCAAGCCCCCATAATCTACTCTTATCCCTTACAGCAGAGCTAGACATTTATTGACCCATTTCCAGCTCCTCGTACAATCCACTTCCAACTCCTTACAGCATTAAGACGTCCATTTCATAAATTCAATGAAAAATTACATGAAGCACATAAAATCCCGTCCCAATTCAACAAAAGCTACAAAATTTGCTCGAGTACCCATTTCGAATCTGGAACGGACGGATAGATAAATCCAGATAGCATTCTAACAACGCGGTATCGTCGCCTTGGCAGCCAACGACGGTGATAAGATAGAGATGAAGAGGGAAAGGGACGTTCACCAGCACCGACGAGATGGAGATGATGAAGAGGTTGGTCTCGTACAAGACCATCGACGAGGACGAGGACGGGGATCAACCTCCGCCTCACTTAAGTCCAGTCCATAGGAAATACAAATCAACGTAAACCTCAAATGCAGAGATCAAATGCTAATTCGTTGGGAATTGGAATACTAAGCAAGGCAGGGGAGACCCAAAACAAATCCCCAATCAATTTACAAATCAGAAAAAAAAAACATAACAAACCAAAATGAGATTCTACAATGAACAATTCTGATATTGAAGGGGGCGAATTGGAAAAGGGAAGAGATGTGCCGACCAAATAGGAGCCGGAGGGGGGAAGGAAAGGAGCTCGCCGCCGAGAGGGACAGGGAGGTTATTAATCAAGTCATGTGCGGTGGAGGAAAAGAGGATTGAGGAATGAAGTCATTGACGGCGGGGACAGTTCTCTCCTGCAGTCGCCGGGGAATAAAGAGTTGGTTATAGGTTCGGGTCGGTTTAGTTCGCTTCGTTTAGTTTAATTTGTTTGGTCCAGTGAATTTTTTATTAGTATTTTTATGACATGGACTACTGAATGGACAAAATTAACAGAATTTTGGATGAAAATGGACGGAATGACTATTTTGTTATTCATCTAAACGTATTTTATTGAAACATGCAAAATTAAACTTTAGTGACCGTTTTGTACTAAGTGATAAGTTATGTGACCGTTTATTCTAATTACCCAAAAATTTAGGGCATTGCTATTCGTCGCCCTACAACACCTTATTCGTCGCCCTAACATTTATTAAAATTACTCAAATATCCATAAGTTAATTTTGTCCGTAGAAACATGTAAACGGAGGGAATCGCCGGAATGGTTGAATCTTCGTCTCTAGTGAGTTGGGACAGGTCCATGCCAAGCTCGCTAGAATCTGAATCGACTAATAAATGTTGCATTATGCAGTCAGGTGAAAAGCAAAATAGAGTTGGATGGAGTATTGGTTGATTACAATTGAAGATTCAGAGAAGTGCGGAGAACTTGGAACTGCCTATGACTCTAGAGAAAAGAAGTTGATTATAGGGGCAAGCTTCCTCGTGGAATGGATTCAGAGTTTCGTAGTTAAAAAGTAACAGTGCGGAGATTTCATGCCTAGATCCTTTCATATCATATTCAACATTCTGAACATAATTCACCAGTAAAAGTAAAAACTAACCCTAAAACCTCGTTCCTCCTTTGTATCCTTCCTCGGCACCAAAAGAGGAATCCGGCAGCAGTAGGGAAGTGGCGGGGTCGGGTAGAGGTGGGAACCCGTCGAAGAGAAGAATCCGACATCGACATGAGTGGCCGAAGGACAGAGGAGCACCGACTGCGGTCGGGATGAGGTGGTCACCTATTGGAGAGAAGAATCTGACAGCGACATGAGCGCAGCGGCCGGAGGACAGAGGAGCACGACGGCGACTGGGCATTGTAAGGGATTGTTTGTTTTGGATTTTGGTTGGAAATTGGGGTCAAAGGATAATAGTGTCAATTTGGTGTATTTTAGGGCGATGAAATTTGAATTCTAGGGCGACAAATAGCGATTCAGCAAATTTATGGAAAAATAATTGAGGACCAATTATATCACCATGGTATAGGGTGGTAAGTGGTGACAAAAGGTGGTATATGATGATTAGTATATCTTGCTTCATGTATACAATCAATTTATACTGTGGCAGATATTCATTCTACCATTGTTTGTTTAATCTTATATGTACTACGCGCGTGTTGGGCCCAGTTGCTCATCATTCAAGGACTAAGAAGTAATCCCAGAAAGATAGGCACATTCAGCCCAATAAGTTCAGTCTTTCACACAAACAAATGAGTTGGGCTCGATAAAGAAAGACCCACTCAATGCCTGAGGCGTCTGACACATACTTCGAGGCTGCGCCTAGGGGGTGGTGTCACATGTGGCAGATGACATGACGCCAACAAGGTGACAACATGGCGGCTGCACATGTGGCGTGTATGGAAGACTAGTAGCATAGAGATGCTCCTAGGATTCTCCACCTTAAGAGAGCTTAATGGTGCACTTATGAGTCACATAATGGGTGGCATTTATAGAGTGCATTATGGGGGAACTTTATGGGTGTATTGATGTGGGGTCGTGATGAGGGGAATTGATGCCTTGTATGTGGAGAGGCCTATATAAGGAGCCATCTCCCTCATTTGTACTCATTCCATCATTTTTTAGAGTAATACACACTAGAGAGTTCTCCCACTTCTTTGTCTTGTTTCCTTGCTTCTTTGTTTGCTTGTGAGTTTGAGAGAAGGCTTCCTAGTGCTCTAACGGAATTGAGATATAGGGCCGCACGATCGAGAGTAAGGTCGTGACAAGTGGTATAAGAGCCCCGTTCGGCTTTGTGCTAGCAAAGAAGAAGCAATAGCCAAACGAAAAGGAAGAGCCTCACCATAAATGTCGGGATCAGATAGCGGCATTACCGATGCTGAGAAGCAACGTGGAAGAGATCCCAACCCGGGCTTGAGGCCAAAAGGTACGTCGAGCACTCGTGATCCTCTCAAGTCTCTAGAGAAGCGAGTCTCTAGAATGGAGGTGAAGCTTTCCGAAGATGTCACCGCCATTGAGGATTTGGGAGCTAACTTCACCCAAGTCCAAAGCGACGTTCAAGGGATGAATTCTCGGTTGTTGAGCTTGGAGATCGGGCATGATGGGCTGTGAGAAGAGCTTGTGGCTCTCATCATCAACACCATCTCCGAGTCCATGAGCAACGCCATTGAAGTTGTGAAAGAGAATGTCCAGGCTGAGCTGGTCGGCGTGAAGGAGGAGATTGCAGACCTCAAGAGTGAGGTCACTCTCGTGAAGAGAGAGCTATGGCTAGCGGACCAGCCCGGTGCAATCCGTCCCACGTGCTGATGTTCCAAGACCAAAGAACTTCGAAGGTTCAAGGAACGCGAGGGAGTTAGAGAACTTCTTTTGGAGTCTTTAGCAGTATTTCAAGGCATCCGACATCCAAGAGGATGAGGTAAAACTTCGTACCGCTTCACTTTACTTGGTCGATGTTGCTATGGTGTGGTGGAGGCAACGTGAAGCAGATGTCGAAAGAGGTACGTGTGTGATGGTAACGTGGAAAGATTTCAAGAGAGAAATCAAGAAGCAGTTCTATCCGGAGAACGTGGAGTTTGAAGCCCGTTCAAAGATGAGAAGACTCGCCCACAGGGGTGGAGTTAGAGAAATGTGAAGGAATTCTCGGAGCTGCTTCTAGAGATCCCGGACATCACGGACAAGGAGGCCATGCACGACTTTCTTGATGGGCTACAACCTTGGGCCAAGATGGAGATGCAACGTCGAGGAGTGCAAGACCTTGTAACTGTCATGGCCACGACTGAGTCTTTTCTAGAGTACAAAAGGCAAGAGAGCAGCAGCAAAGAGAAGAGTTCAAAGCCCAACAAGGGTGGAGAACCACGACAACCTTTCAAGGAGGGTCCTCACACTCAACAATAACAAGGTGGTTCAAGCAAAGGGGGTAAGTACGAATCAAAACCCATATCTTGTTTCCTTTGCGATGGACCACCTCGAGTGCGAGATTGCCCAAGGAAGGCAAGGTTGGCAACCATGGAAGCTCAAGATGAAGAGCCCAAGGCAGCAGAGGCCAAGATTGGCTCAACCCGCAAGCTTGGCGCGGTGAAGACCGACGTCAAGGAGAGCAAGCGGGGGAGGTGCTATGTTCTGGCGCAATTCATGCAAATTGAGTCAAAAGTGATAACGATGTAATTGCACATATTTGCACCCCTAGTACTTATCCGTTTGAGGGGCATAGTCGTGTATTTTTGGCCTATTTTACGCCGGGTTATGCTACTTTGTCATATTTCAGGTCCCAGACGTCGAAGGAAAGGCTAAGCACGAGTTTCGGGGCATTTGGAAGTCATTCGGTCGAGCTGGAGCCAAAACACGGGCACGCCTAAATCAGAACACGGCCGTGTTCCTAGACCGTGCTTTTACTGCCGAGACTTGATCTGAGTTTGGCAAACACGAGCTCAAAACACGGACAGGACTGAGACAGAACACGGCCGTGTCCACCAAAAGCACGCCCGTGTTTTCCCCAAAAGGCTGGCCGTGTAATTAACACTTGGCAAAGGCACGGGCGGGCTGGAGCAGAACACGGTCGTGCCCTCGACCGTGTTTTGCCCAGCGATGCCTTTTTAGGCAGATTTCAGCCAAAACAGGGGGAATTCGAGTTTTAGAGAGACAGAGCAATTCCTAGAGAGAGAAAGCGACGAACAAGAGTTCCCAAGTGCCCTAGCTTGATCTTCATCACCATTGGAGCTTGGCTTGAGCTTGGAGAAGTGCCGATCAACGTCCAGGAGCAGAAATCCATCTTTCACAGTATGATTTTCGCGTCTGATTCTGCTTTTGCTTCTTTCTCCATGGAGTAGTTCTCCCATTCATCTGGGTATGGAGAACCCTAGATTTGTATGTTAGGTTTGATTGTATGAACCCAAGTACTGATTCTATGATTTGATTATATTCAATTGAGGTTTGAAAGATTGAATGGCATGAATCTTGATCAAATTCCTGTTGTTTCTGCTTTAACCTAGAATGAGAATATCTGCCTAGGTTGATAGAGCATCCTTGATTGAAGGTAGGGAGTTGGTGACTTTAATCGAGGAGCCAACTCACTATTCTGTACCGAATTCACTTCGGTAGTGGAGGTTTTGTTCGTTAGGGCCTCAATCTGTTTACTCCGGTGGAGGTTAGTCGCCCGCTAGAGACTCAGATTGAGAGGGTCTGGAGACCTTTAGTCGAGACTTCAGACTGCTTAAGAACCTTCCGCAGTATAACTATCATAGAAACTAAACTTGGTAATTGCAATCCGGCTTAACTACAGTCTAGGGGGAACCATACCCAGGTGACCTCTCTTAACCTGAAAACAACCGTTTACTTGCTTTGCTTGTTTGTTAGTTTAGACCTGCACTAAAGTTTCATTGCTAGATAACAAGAATTTACCGAGTAGTCATCAAATCTAGGACCCGGGTTGACATTAAAACCCAAACCCGCTATACTACGCTTTAGGAAGTGGTTACACTTGGCCAATTTCTAGAGTGACAGTAGGAGTGAGTCAAGTTTTTGGCGCCGTTGCCGGGGACGACTAGGTTGTTGAAGAAAAGTGATTTCTGTTAATTTAGCTTTTCTTTTCGCATTGTTTGCGTTGTCCCACTTGTGCCTTCACGGGTTTGCTTGCTTGAGTGTGTGCAGGTAGTGCATGACCCGTAGCCAGTCGGGAGGTTTACTGCCGTTGAATCCAGAGATTGACCTCACCTGTCGCCAACTCAGGAGACAACAACGAGCTAGACTGGCTACGGAAGAGCGCATAGACGGCCACCTGAGCACCGATTCTGAGGAAGAGTACAGGATGGATGAAGATTACAATCCACACCAGGGGAATCCTCAGCAGGCTCCCCCGGTGAATTAGGTCCTGGGGAACAACCCCATACCCCAGGCAGATGGGGTTCATCATCATCCACCGCCGCCGGGTCCCACCTTGGAGTACTACTACACTCCACGGATTGCTGACATCCGCCCGGTCATCCTCTACCCCCTATTCCAGCGAACAACTTCGAGATCAAGCCATGATGGATTCAGCTCATTACATCCTCTATCCAGTTCCATGGCTTGAAGGATGAGGAGGCCAGGGTACATCTTTCCCGTTTTCTGCAGCTGACGAACGGGTTCAAGCTGAACGGTGTCCCCGATGATGCAATCCGCCTTCACCTTTTCCCCTATTCTCTGGCGGGGAATGCTAAGAGGTGGTTGGAGACCCAGCTCCCATTGTCCATCACCTATTGGGACGATCTGGCTGACAAATTCGTGCACAGGTACTATCCGGCATCGAAGACTACAGAGATCCAGCGGGAGATCACTCACTTCCGCCAAGAGCCAGACGAGTCACTTGCATGGGAGCGGTACATGGGATATTTCTGGCAGTGTCCCCATCATGGCTTCAGTGATGCATTCACAGTGGGGAACTTCTACAGCGCTCTCTCTCCGGACAGCCAGAGGGTGATTGAGTCTCTATGCCCAGGAGGGGATATTCTTACTAAGACTCCACCCGAGCTGAATCAGATGATCAATACATTGGCTGCCAGAGATCATTCTTGGGGGCAGAGCAGCAGAGGTAGACATTTCCGGGACCGTGGTGTGCACGCCATGGAGACCAGATCCGGGCTTGAGCAGCAGGTAGCTGAGTTAGTGCAGACATTGAAGCAGCCCAACAGTCTTATCCCGGGCAGAGGTTTAGCTACACCTCCAGTAGCTCAATGTCAGTGGTGTGAGAGCTCAAATCACCTAGTGGAAGACTGCCAGGATATGAGGGAGTCTACTACCCCCCAAGAGCAGTTGGACTTCATCGCCAATGCTCGGCGCCTCGACCCGTACAGCAATACATATAATGAGGGGTGGCGCCAGCATCCCAATTTCTCTTGGAGCAGCAACACCACTAAACCACCTGGTTTCCCAGCACCAGCTGGTGGTTTTCAGCAGAGGCAGCCTTTCCAGGCTAGATAGGGGCCAACCCCACAGCAGCAGCCCTACCAGCCTAGGCAGGGGAAACCATTCCAGCAGCCCCAGCGTCAGTATGCCGAGCCAGCAGCAGCTCCTGCTCCAGATAATCAGATGACGAAGCTGGAAAATATTCTAGCTTCATTCATGACTAGCACTCAGGCAACTGTCACGAGGTTGGACCAGAGCATAGCCTCACTGGAGGCAGGTCAGAGGAACCAAGGTGCCATTTTGCAAGATCTGCAGAACCAGGTGGGTATCTTGGCCCGCCAAAGCACTACCAGGGCACCGGGGACTCTGCCTGCCACCACTATTCCGAATCCTCGTGATCCTCCCCAGCACCAGCAGCTTGATGCCAACACTACCAGGAGTGGCAAGACCATATCAGCTGCTCCTGCCCAGCCCAGTCGAGATGAGCCACTACCTGCTTCAACACTTCCAGCTGATACTGCAGAAGTGGGGGAATACAAAGAAACGCCTACTCCCAAGCCACAACCAGTGGTTAAGGAGCAT